GGAGGAGATGAGGCATGGTTGGAAACTTCATCTCAAAAGAAAAATTAAAAGTTTATGGAAAAAAGTGTGGAAAAAATCCAAAAAAAGTTAGAAAAAATTATGTGATAAGAAAAAATACAACAAAAAAACAGCCACTGTCACCCAAAGCCTGGAGAGAGCGCTAATGGGGAGACAGGTGCAGATGAGTGAAGATCACCGGGTCATCCAAAAGCAGGGAACTAGGCCCGAGGCTTAGCTCACGCCGTGAGATCACATTGGAGGTGAGTGCGACCCGAGGAGTTGGAGACCAAGCGGCAATGTGTGATAACTCTGTCCTCCCCTACTAAAAGTACAAAAATTTAGCCAGGCGCGTGGCGCGCGGCGCCCTGTATCCAACTACTCAGGAGACTGCGCCGCCCAGAAGGAGGTGCAGGAAGATGGCACCACTGCAACTCCAGTCTGGGCTTGGAACAGAGATCCACCTAAAAAAAGAAAAAAAAAAAAAAAAAAAGCAGGACCCTGTCAGCAAAGCTTGGAGAAGTGGGGCCGGAGGCTCCATCCCCACCATGTCCCTATCACCCCTTCCCAGTCACTCCTTTACCATTTGAGTAGCAAGACAAGACCCCTGTCTAATGGGGAGAGACAAACACACCCTTTGCCACCTTGGCCACGGCTGAGTCCTTAAATTTCTGGATGATGATGATTGTGATTTAAGAGGCAGAGGCTGATGGAGTTGGTTTGTTTAGAGGAGGCCTGATGGCCTCCTTACTCTCACCAAAGCAATTTTTCCCTCAGCGAAACTCGTGTCTTCTTACTCGGAGAGGCAGATGAGGCAGGACAGTGGGACTAACTGTAGACCAGGCGGGGGTACGGACTGCTGGGGGTGGCCCCCCTTCCCCCATGTACATATTGTTTCTGTGTAACGTTTTGTATATTCCGGGGGGTAGGGCTGCCCCTGTATTGTACCTAGTGGAGATTGGAGCTGGCACCGGGGAGTGGGGGATGGAAGCGAGGGAAGGTTCTAATAATTATTCGCAGCTGGGGAACTTATTTGATAGCATAGGACAGAGGAAGGAGGCGGGGTTGGGTTCGTGGCTTCCTGGCCATGTGACTCCTGTTTATTTTGCTTTTTATTTGGGAATAAATGGATTTAACCATACTGCTAGCCTGGCATGTTTCTGTTTCCCTCACTGGGTCCTGGAGTTTGCGCCACTGAACGAGGAGCCCCAGAGTGTCTGAGCATGTCCAACTGGGCTGTTGGGGACCTCCCAGGCCTGTTACCTGTATGCTGCCTGGTGACGCCTGGGGGATTCCACGGCACCTATGGGGCACAGTCCGGCCCTGACGGCCAACAGGCTCAGAAGCCTCATCTAGCGGTGGCTGGGAAGGAAGGATGCCAGCACCCAAGGGCACTGACTTCCATGCACATGAGGCGTCTTCCTTTCGGCCACCCTGCCTCCCTCGCCTGTCTGCACCTAGTGGCTTATTCTGTCTGTCCCTCCAGAGTGCCGACGCCGCTCCCGTTCCCTCCAGGCTGAGTTCTGGCCCTGCCCCCTAGTGGCCAGAACCGGCTTCACAGGATGAGAGCCGCTAAGCTCCAGGGGCTTTCCAGGAAAAGTGTCCCTTGGAAAGGATGTGGCCTCTTCACTGCTCCCAATACCCTAGTAATGGCTTGACCTTTCCCCTCCGCTCAACTCCACAGACAACACAGCCAGGAGAGGACACATTCCCTGTCATCCAGAAATGGGTTTGCTTGTCAGCCAAGGGACAGCAGGACTGTCAGGCCACATGGCAACCCCCATTCTTGGCAGGGGGTGGGAGGGATGGCAGGGCTGGTTGTCCACAGGCCAGGCATGACAGGAAGTCCCATTGGATGTGGCGCACTTTGGAGGGGTATGTCGGGGGACAGATAAGGGTCTCAGTAAAGAGATCTGCTCTTTTACAATTTCTGCACCAATTTGCCATACTTGGAGATGACACATAGCAGCTTATTTTTTACTTTTTCAAGAAAGGATATCATGGAAAGAAATCGAGCTGCCTTTCTATGAATAGAACTCAATTGCCTTCCAGCCGTAGGCTGCATGCTTCAAAATGTTTATCAGAAATAAGAAATGGGTTGAGCAGCACCATCCATAGCCTTACACTGAGCGTTCCCACCATGACCTCTACCATGTACGAAGTGCCTTGGTTAATTATGAAACCAGTGAAAATGAGATGAAAAGTCCTATTCCCATGCA